CCAATATTTTGCACTGTTGCTGAAAACTGTGCTGAAAACAATATTTTCATTCAAACACACACATTTATTTTTATTCAATTTTTATTTTATCGTCACTTCACTAAAATAAAATATAGTAAAGTAAAAATGACGTGACAAAACAATCAGTTAAAGGGTTTATGATAATATAAGAACAACTTAAACCAAGAGAGGATCAACAACAGCAGAATTATGAAGAGGTGATATTGAAATATTACTCTAACCATGAAGAATTAATTACAACTTTTATGTATAATCACAGTTGTATTCCATGGACAATTAGAAAGATAATACAAATAAAACAGTGTTTACATCAACAGTGACTCTCTACGTTACTTTGGTTGAATTTTAAGTTGAATTTGGAGGGGGGAGAAAGATCATAAAAGTAAATGTCATGTAAGGACAAAGTTTGTTGGCTGGTGGCTATATCAGCACATGTGACTTAATATGTGAAAATATTGACCATGAAGGACAACTACACTACATACAGATTGACAGGAGAGTCAGTGTCAGAAAAGATGATGCCAACAGCATCCTCTGAACAAACCATTATTTTGGATAACCTTGCATACAAAAAATATACCGGACTCGGACTTGTGCAATCAGACCCTTTTATTCCTGCTGTACAAGAAGCAAAAATTACATGTTGGTCATAATGCCTTTAATGCCTTCTTGATCTTGCTGTACATTATCTGTCAGATTTGCTGCAACAACGTGAACAGGTTCATTCACTACAACCTTAAACAAACAAAACCCCTTTTAGTGAATTACAGTATTATATTAATATGTAATACAGTATTATTAAGTATTGTCAAAATTTCACGTGTATTAAGTCAGTCTGGTCACTAGGAAAGCACTACACCCTTTGAAACATGAAAATAATGATTTAGGGAAATTAGAGTATTTTTTTTAAATAAACATTTGATAATTGTATGTACAGTATGGTAGGTATTGTCAAAATTTCACCTGTAGTAAGTCAGTCAGGTCACTAGGAAAGCACTACACCCTTTGGAACACTAAAAAATACTTAGTCAATTACAGTAATTTTTCATAAACCTATTTGATAATAGTATATACAGTAAGGCAGTTATTGTCAAAATTTCACCTGTAGTAAGTCACACTGGTCATTAGGAGAGTACTACACCATTTGAAACATCAAAAAATACTTACGGTGATTTACAGTAATTTTTTCATAAACATAATTGACAATAGTACACATAAAGTAAGGGAGATATTGTCAAAATTTCACCTGTAGTAAGTCACACTGGTCATTAGGAAAGTACTACAACATTTGTAACGTGGAAAAATAGTTACAGTCATTTACAGTTAATTTTTCATAAACATATTTGACAATAGCACGTACAGTATGGGAGTTATTGTCAAAATTTCACCTGTAGTAAGTCAGTCAGGTCACTAGGAAAGCACTACAGCCTTTGAAACACGAAAATAATACTTTAGGGGAATTACAGTAATATTTTCTTCAACTGATTAGTTTATTGTACGTACAGTAAGGGAGTTATTGTCAAAATGTCACCTGTAGTAAGTCAGTCTGATCACTAGGAAAGCACTACAGCCTTTGGAATATAAATATAAATATTAAAAAACACTATAGGTGAATTAAAGTTTATTACATAAACATATGTAATAAACACACGTAATAATGTTTATTACATAAATATATTTGATAATTGTACAGTAAGGGAGTCATTGTCAAAATTTCACCTGTAGTAAGTCAGTCTGATCACTAGGAAAGCACTACAGCCTTTGGAACAGGAAAAAATACTTTAGGGGTATTACTGTAATTTTTTCTTGAACTTATTAGTTTATTGTACGTACAGTAAGGGAGTTGTCGTCAAAATTTCACCTGTAGTAAGTCAGTCTGATCACTAGGAAAGGACTACAGCCTTTGAAACAGGAAAAAATGCTTTAGGGGAATTACAGTAATTTTTTCTTCAACTTATTAGTTTATTGTACGTACAGTAAGGGAGTTATTGTCAAAATTTCACCTGTAGTAAGTCAGTCTGATCACTAGGAAAGGACTACAGCATTTGAAACAGGAAAAAATACTTTAGGGGAATTACAGTAATTTTTTCTTCAACTTATTAGTTTATTGTACGTACAGTAAGGGAGTTATTGTCAAAATTTCACCTGTAGTAAGTCAATCTGATAACTAGGAAAGCACTACAGCCTTTGAAACAAGAAAAAATACTTTAGGGGAATTACAGTAATTTTTTCTTCAACTTATTAGTTTATTGTATGTACAGTAAGGGAGTTATTGTCAAAATTTCACCTGTAGTAAGTCAGTCTGATCACTAGGAAAGCACTACAGCCTTTGAAACAAGAAAAAATACTTTAGGAGAATTACAGTAATTTTTTCTTCAACTTATTAGTTTATTGTACGTACAGTAAGGGAGTTATTGTCAAAATTTCACCTGTAGTAAGTCAGTCTGATCACTAGGAAAGGACTACAGCATTTGAAACAGGAAAAAATACTTTAGGGGAATTACAGTAATTTTTTCTTCAACTTATTAGTTTATTGTACGTACAGTAAGGGAGTTATTGTCAAAATTTCACCTGTAGTAAGTCAGTCTGATCACTAGGAAAGGACTACAGCATTTGAAACAGGAAAAAATACTTTAGGGGAATTACAGTAATTTTTTCTTCAACTTATTAGTTTATTGTACGTACAGTAAGGAAGTTATTGTCAAAATTTCACCTGTAGTAAGTCAGTCTGATCAGTAGGAAAGGACTACAGCATTTGAAACAGGAAAAAAATACTTAAGGGGAATTACAGTAATTTTTTCTTCAACTTATTAGTTTATTGTGCGTACAGTAAGGGAGTTATTGTCAAAATTTCACCTGTAGTAAGTCAGTCTGATCAGTAGGAAAGGACTACAGCATTTGAAACAGGAAAAAATACTTTAGGGGAATTACAGTAATTTTTTCTTCAACTTATTAGTTTATTGTACGTACAGTAAGGGAGTTATTGTCAAAATTTCACCTGTAGTAAGTCAGTCTGATAACTAGGAAAGCACTACAGCCTTTGAAACAAGAAAAAATACTTTAGGAGAATTACAGTATTTTTTTCTTCAACTAATTAGTTTATTGTACGTACAGTAAGGGAGTTATTGTCAAAATTTCACCTGTAGTAAGTCAGTCAGGTCACTAGGAAAGCACTACAGCCTTTGAAACAGGAAAAAATGCTTTAGGGGAATTACAGTAATTTTTTCTGGAACTTATTAGTTTATTGTACGTACAGTAAGGGAGTTATTGTCAAAATTTCACCTGAAGTAAGTCAGTCTGATCACTAGGAAAGCACTACAGCCTTTGGAATATAAATATAAAAAAACACTATAGGTGAATTAAAGTTTATTACATAAACATATGTAATAAACACATGTAATAATGTTTATTACATAAATAAATTTGATAATTGTACAGTAAGGGAGTTATTGTCAAAATTTCACCTCTAGTAAGTCAGTCTGATCACTAGGAAAGCACTACAGCCTTTGGAACAGGAAAAAATACTTTAGGGGAATTACTGTAATTTTTTTTATTAATATTTGTATACTGAATGGGAGGTACTGTCAAAATTCCACCTGTAGTAAGTCAGTCTGGTCAGTAGGAACATACTACAACCTTTGGAACATGACAAATAACATTGTTTTAATATTTTAATCTCCTCAAAACGAGCTTTCCTTCGGGTTTGCACTTTGCAGATGGTCCCTTCTTAGCAGCCTGCGCATAGAGATCAATGTATTTTGTCCAGTGCGAAGGAAAGATCGTTTTGAGGAAATTTATGTTGTAGCTTCTGGTGTTTTATCTGTAGTTATATGTGATAGGTGTTGTGTGTAGCAACAACGTTTAGTTCACGAGTTATTGAACGCGGAAGTCCGCGAATGTGTGAATATGCGAATATAAAACCAACTTTACCTAAGTAATTACAGTTGCAACATCTCGTAACGTACCTCAAACTAAATAGCGCATCACTGAGAAACGTCCTGTTCAAGTCGTCCTTGCGATAGAGGGTTGGTTTGAATACTCCAATGTGTCATTATCGCACTCACGCACGGATTGATATGGTAAAATTGTCATCATAGTTTATTACTGCGTTTAGTTTGCGGTGTAGGAAGCCTCAGGACACGCAGAGCTGACGTTATGGCAATGGGTGTTTATGTTTTCGACAAGTGCTATACACGGTAGACCAATCACAACAGACTGAGCTGTCTGGCCAATCAGAGCAGAGTAGCTTGTGGAAATGAGGGATTTAGAGAGATTGATTCATTTGACGAGTCGTTTGAGAATCATTAAAAATGTGATGTGCAATTGTATATTACGAGGAAATTAAATTTTATTAAATTTTATTATAATTAAATTTTAAGAGACTCCAAAACAACATTAGGAAACTTTACATTGACTAGCATAATAGGGGCACTTTAAAGTGGTCTCTAATGCATTTTAAAGTCACAATAACTGTAACTAGGCAAGTCAGTTCTTAGAAGTCTTGACTCTTTACCTGACTTTGAAGGCAACTCTTTCTCCTTTGCTGACTTGCGGCCAAATGAAAGCTCTTCTGGAAGATAAAGAAAAAAAACACTTCGACATTTTGGCGCACTGTAACCAAAAGCATCAATAATGATGACCATTAAAAGTCATTTTCAGAGCACGGGTTTGACTTTACCTGTAGATGTTGAAGGGGAATGACATCGCTTCTTTGGCTGAGGCATCTCACTCTCCCTCGAAGACTGGCTGCCAAACAAAGATTCCTCTGAAGGACAGAAAATAAGACTTTTACCGTACACCATAACCAAAAGCAAGCAATTAAAAAATACAAATGAAATACAGGTTGTACTAAGCAAGACAAGGCCAGGCCAATCGATTCACACTACATATCGTTTATATAAAGTCAAGGGCAGAGATAGCCATGGCCAATGCCTGAACTGGGTGGCAACATATTGACGTGGTCAGAAAAAGACAACTGGTCATGACACCCAGGTTTCTCGCAACTTACTTGGATTCAGGTTGTCATTCTGTGAGAGAAATTCAGAGACCTGTTTGAAAACTGCTCTTTTCATAGACTCTGCAGGACTGAGAGAAGGTTTGAGCAGGGGAGTTACCCAAGCCTGTTTTAATGCGGTATGAAATGTTCCAGAAGCCAGTGAAACGTGTGATTGCTGACACAATGTTAAAAGTTATGGCTTGGATGAGGGTTAGTAAGAATGGGGTCCAGCAGACATGCAGTAGGATGGCCACAAGTCAGTGAGCGAATGGTGGAAGTGATGCGCAGTTGATGGGGAAGACAGGTTGTTTCCAAGTGGCTCAGAGAATTGGTCACTAATGGCTGCCACTTTTTCAGTCAAGAAAGCAGCAAATAGATCAACAGAGGTTAGTGGCTTTGGAACATCGTTGTAGAAAGCCATTTTAACAGCACTAATGCTGGATAAGGAGGAAAATAGGAGTGCAGGGTAACCCTTGAGATTAGTTGGATCACTAAAATTCTGACATCTCTCAGCAGCTCTGAGATCAGTATGCAGATTTCAGATGGTAGAATCAGCAAAGGGTGAGGCTGGTTTGAGCGAGCAGGTTTGGTGGATAGAGGACACAGCCTGTCCAGACATGAGCTTAGCGTAGAGCAGAGATACTCTGTGGCATCATTGACCTCCAGTGAAGAAAATGTGTCGATATAGAGTTTAGGCGACCAATGAGAAGTGGGTGGGAGACAGGTTGAAGTATAAAAAACCCAGTAGTGGTGGAACAGAGAATGAAATGAACTGAAAGAAACAGTGGTCAGAGATGTGCAGAGGCATGACCAGTAGGCATTGGGTGAGAATGAGATAAAGTTCCTTACCTGCTTTGTGAGTCAGAGGGCCGCAAACCTGTTTTATCAGGGACAACCATACAGATTTTTATAATACAAATAGCAAAATCTATCATTGATAAAGAATTCTTTATCCCCCAGGAATTCACATCAGATCGCAGCTGACCATACCTGTAGCTGAAGACTGAAGTCGCTTTTTTGGCTCTGGCATCTCACTCTCTTCATCCTCACTTTCAGACACATCACTACCTACATTCACTTTCTCTGCAGAAAAGTGTGTAGAAAATAATTTGTTTCTATGCACCATATAGAGCTCCTTGTAACTGAAATAAATAGTGTGAACATATAATATGTATAAGAGCAAACATTTTTATGCCATGTGTTCTTACCGTAAGGCTCAAGGTTAATTTCATCAAGGTTTTTCCCCTTGAATTCTGATACTCTTCCCTGTTCAAGGGCCATCAGCACCTTGCTGATCTTTGCTAGTTGTAACGTCCCTTCCGGCAACCGGTAAAACTTTCTATGGACTCTTATATCGTGTCCCATAAAATCGGCTAACTGGTCCATCTCAGTATCTTTTAGATTAAGCACTTTTGATAATGTCGCAATATGTTTCCGCAGCTTTGTCGATGACAAATTCTTTGGATGTTTGGCTCCACACTGGTGGGCTACTTTTCTGATGCAATCCGTGCCACGGTAGAATGAGGTCTCAGTCATGGGCTTTGCGAAAAAAAAATTCTCATCCAGTACACCACATGTTTGACGATTATTTACAAGTAGTTCCATGGAGTCCATCATACTTGGGGTCAAGAGTATTGGGACCTTTCGGTCTCGCTTGCCTCTAATTTCGATGCGTTGGAAATGCTGACAGAGCTTCTGCTCAACTTCAGATAAAGCATCAGCAACATCGGAGTGTAAAACAGATGTGTTTCGAAGAAGATATGAATTCAACCTCATTTTCGAAACTTCTCCTGCTCTCCTGCGATTAAACAGAATAACTTCACACAGAGTTATTTGGGCAAGTTTTGACCAGTTATTCTGACTTTTCTCAAGTTTGAGCTTATCTTGGTACAGTTTAGTTTGATTGCTGAGATGGATGTGCATTTTTTTAACATCCTCAGTAAAAGGAAGTAGTTCTGGAGAGTTCCATTTCGCTTCATGAAGCGTTTTCAAGGCTGAGGATGACACGTACTCATTCCACTTTGTTTCATACATTTGCTTGAACATTTTTACATTTTGGACATCATTTCCCTCTCCTGCGATCATTGCTTCACATTCTGCAATATCAGACATTTTTTTAAGGTTGTGGCCCAGTTTTAATGCCAAAGATGGAATTGTGAAGACTTCATCTTCATCTTGGAATCCCGCAGTATCTTTAACAGCCTTGATAACGTGATAGAAGTTTGAGGGTATGAAAAAGTCTTTAATACTCTGTAGACTTCCCACTTTCCTAGCACACACCAACAGCCTTCCAGCCTCACGCATTTTAGTTCTGATGTATTCGTGCTTGGTTTTGTCACTCCCCATTTTGTTGCACAAGTGTTCTCCGAACTTGATGATACATGTATCACTTTTAACCGCCTGTGTTACTTCATCTTGCTTCATGTCACTGATCAGTTTCCATAATTTTTTTGTTACTCCTTCAGGAACAGGCTGCGCGTAAGCACAGAGTGCTTGAACTCTGGATCTACCTTGTTTTGTGACCTGGCACTTTTTGGCAAGGTTGCACCTTTGCATATGCCTCCAAAGTGCTTTTCTTCTGAACAGCCCTTGGCAGTTCAAACAGTGCATGTAGTCCTTAACGTTCACATGTTTAGCAGTGGATTGCTGACGTGGCACCAATACTCCTTTGCCATCTTTAAGAACATTTGTGTTGTGTACACGGTTGCCTTTATTCCTTAATAAATCTAGATTGATCCTCCGTTCTTTAGAACATTTTGGAAAGGAAAGAGCCTTTGCGACTTCGACCTCATTTTTATGTACCTGGGACAAGTGTCTTGCTATTTTGGAGAATGGTTTGGCGCAATAAAAGCAGTACTGTTTTTTGTTGAACATTCTTTTGCCTGTTGCAGTCTTTTTCACTTTCATAACTGAAACCTCTTCACTGCTGTCATTGTCTGAATGAGTCATAGTCTCATCCTCATGTGGGGGACATTCCTTGTCTTCATTCGTGGAAAATGAATTAACATTATCATCGAATGTTATACTGGGAGATGGACTGGACAAAGGCTGTGGAATGCTCTCTTCTGATTCTTCTGAACAGCTTTCAGAGTCAGGCACATAATCATCTTCGCTGTTGTCGATACTGCTAACTGAGTCATCTGAAGTGGAACTGATGTTTAAGGATTTTTTAGTAAGCTGTAAATAAAACAAAAAAACATAGCTTTAGTTTAAAACTTGGCGAGCTAAAAAGTAAAAAAAGTTGGCGAGCAGGACCAGGCTGAGGGCAGTGCGAGGACGGCACGAGGCCGGTGCCGTGATTGATTATGAGCCACAGCTGGCAAGCCCACCGGTCTCGTATCTTTTACGGTCCTCAGCCTCGTCCTGCTCGCCACAAAAACCATAATCAAAGTGGATATCTGTATGCAGGGTTCAACGGGAGTTCAGAGTACATGTAATATTCAAATAAAAGACGCTTCAATCAATGTCAGTGCAGCGCGAGCCGATCTTCATGTTACAGCACAGCGCTAAGAGATCCAGTAAAGAAAGCATTTGAATTCGCCACTGAAGTAATAACATCACTGCGAGATCTAGTGAGAAGCATTCACATTTCTCTGTTATTAATGGATCAAACAGCGCTGACGTGGAAACCAGGAGAAACATTATGCCATGAATGAACAAGTTATAGGCTTTAAGTTCACAGATCAGCAACATTCACCATGGATTTAATATAGTAAATAACTAACTGTAACCATGGAAGTTTGGCAGAAATAGTAAAATGCTTTCAGGTAGATCTACATCACGCATCTTTGTCCAGCACTTCAAAACTCAAATATCATATTTAAATGTTATTTTTTATGTGATGGCCAAAACAAAATTTGTTCATTAAAAAAAAAAAAAATTCATACTTCAAAGATGACCCCCATTTATAAAACTAAAAGTTTTAAGATGTAGGAAAACTCACACTTATTTAAAAATATTTTCTCTTTTAATAAATAGGACATTTCTCTGGCATTTCTTTATTTTTGCTGTTTCGAAAACGTAACGAACCGTGACATCACTGTATCGAACCGAACCAAGAATTTTGTGAACCGTTACACCCCTAACCAATTTTAAAGAAAACAAGGCATGTGGTTTAAAAGATGGCAAGTAAAATAAAAAGCACATCTGTATGCAATACAGTTTCATTATTGTTCATTATTATCCAGAGCGGCTTACTATAAATAATTTGTGCGACCCAATCATGTTTTGCGCCAGTAACTGAAAAAGTTAGTAGCGCAAGTGCCACCAGTGGAAAAGATTAGTGTAGTTCCCTGACTTAGGCTTAATGCCCGTTTCACACGTACTCCGTTTGCAGTCCGCATGCAGTACGTATTTTTTTACTACTAATAGTATTAGTCGAAATGTAAAATAAATTTCAAATTTGGTGCCTTCTTGACTGAGAAAAGACATAAAGTAACTTTAGGGCGCATTTGTATGAAAGACAACAACTCCCAAAATGCACCACATTGCACAGCTCCGCAAGCCACTCCCACTAATCCAGAACAGCGCCTATGAGGTATCCGCCTATCAAAGACATACTATCAGAGCCTGACAGCGTTGTCATTTGTTTACTTCCTTGCTACAACGTACAATTAAACAATACAAACTATTACAGGAAAACACAGACGAAAAATAAATCATACTTGCAGGTCGTGGCCCATAAACAGCTTCTATTATTAAAGTTGGAACTGCTCCATCTTTCAGGACAAGCCGTTGTGCGAATCCTGCATTGAACTCGCAAAGATTGTGGAAGCTTTCCTCTGTTAATGTGCAGCACATTATAATTATAATCGTAATAATTATTAGGGACCGAGTTAAAAATAAAATTAACCATTGATTCCTAAATCCCCCGTCCCGAGGAAGGCTGAACAAAGTGGACCTGCAATCCGAATGAAAATAACAGTGGTTCGACGGCATTGCGGCAACAACACTCCAGTGAAATCGTGTTTTAGCACCCCTTTAAGACAAAATATCACACACACACACACGAGTGAGAAACTTACAAATACACTGTCAGTCCTCTTTAGCTCTGGGATATCACAGGCTCTTGGTGATTCAGAAGAACTGGGTAAATCGAGAATAACTGTATCCACTTCACTGTCCGTGTCCTGGCAAAAGAGATAAATATAAATTAAATACACATATGCACAGATACACAGCGGCTGAGACTGACAGGTCACATGACCATAGATCATGTGAATTTGTGTAAAGACGGCTCCTGTCAGTCTCGACCCCTACAGTCTCTCAGTCATCGCCTTTCGTGTTGTGCACGCTGTAGCTCCACAGACCTCTCTCTCAAGCAATACTTAGCAAGAAAACATCTATATAGACTAGGGATGTTAACGATTAATCGATGATTGATAAAACAATATTGTAATAAAACATTGTGAATGCTGTGTTTCACTGCGTTGCTCCAGGAAGAGCGTCCACAACATGAGTCATTCTGAATGGCACGGAACTTCGTTCAAGTTTTTCTTGAAGCACACTTAATATTACAGATTGTATCTGCACAAAATTATGTTTATTTTGTATACATCTGATTAATCTCATATAGAATGCCTTTCTTTGAGTTAAATAATGCGCTAGCAAAGTGCTCAGGGCTCGACATAAGCAATGGCCCGGGGCCAGTAAAAGAGTATGTCGGGCTAGTTGATTGGCCAGTCACTTGCGGTTCCAGTTTTGTGATTCCAGAGCAGCTTATCGCACGTTAATAAGCAGCTTATTGCCCTCTCTACAAACGAAACACATGAGCTTCTCCATGGGAGCGCAACAAGACCACGCCCCCTTTTTTGTGTATTCCTGTGGGCGGAGATTAGTCAAAAACTGTTCTCGTTACGTCATTAAAAAAGGAAGTAGAGGGATGTAGTCCAAACCGGCCGTTCGCTGGAGGCTTTGAAAGGGAAATGTTAAATAAAAAAATCTCGCTAAGCATTAAACTTTGAGCTTTATAATTTTACAGGTATTATTTATGCTCTAACAGCAACATTACACATTAACTAAAGTTTGAAAAATGGAATAGCGAAGAATGGGACCTTTAACATTAGAACACCATTTTATTAAATCGTTGAGATTTGGCTGCTGTCAGCGCTTTGTTCTAGGAAGAGCACGTCCACAACACATTCTGACAAGTACGCATCTCGCATCTTAGGCGATGTTGATGACATGCTGTTTTCGTTATTTGATTATTAAATAAGTAATTTGTTAAGTGATTAATCACATCAAAACATTTTACAATACTAGCGCTTAGATTAAAAACCCTTCTCATTAATTTGGTGAGGAACATGTTGTTTTGAGCAGCATTTGCAGACCCTGTCATGCTGTTGGCCATGCCCCTGCAGCAGACCCATATTGCAGTATTAAAGGTTGTATCAGTGATTTCAGGCCTAAAAATAAATGTCTAATCTTTCCTAACGATCTGCTAGCTGCCCGCCCCATAAGCATGCCGTCCAAAAACCGCGTCTCTGTAGGCAGCCTAGGCTCTGAGATCTGCACACAAAAACAAATGTGTACAACCACCACTCAAAACCAAAATAAAGTGTTCCAACCAATCACTGACAGGGGCGGGTGTTGTGAGGTTTTGAGCTCGTGCACGGCTGGACGCGAAATCGGAGCAACACCCGCCCCTGTCAGCTGGTCCCTCGTCTGCTGGTCCACCAACAGCTGGTCCCTCGTCTGCCTCATCTGCTGGTCCACCTACAGCTGGTCCCTCGTCTGCCGGTGCATGCAGACTGGTACTCCAACAACCCAAAAAAAGAAAAAGGTGCCAAATGTGCTGGCCGGAAGATATAAAAACCAGCAGATTCTGCAAAAAATGCACACTTCCAGTCTGCAAGAAACACACTGTCACTATCTGTTGCATCTGCAGTCATAAGTGAAACAATTAGCAGACAGTTTGTATGTATATAGTTCAAATAATCTGTATTATTATTATTATTACCGTACTTTAAAAAAAAATCAATTTACTGTTTGATGATTATTGTTTGTTTTTATTTTAGAATGAGTTCCTGATATCTATTCCATATTCAACAATAAATAAAATAATTACAGTTTTGTATGTATATAGTTAAAATAATGTTTATTATTGTTATCATTATTATTATTAACATTTTATTTTTTAACCTAGTAAATGATTGTTTGCTGTTATTTATTTTGTTTATTTACGTTCATCACAATTGCTGTTCCCTTTTGAAGTTATTACTACTTATTGAATTAAAATTAATAAAAAATACCAATTTATTGCAAAATGTCTGTATGAAGTGTTTTGAGTTATCACTAACCATCCCTTTTTTTGTTAAATTATTTGAATGATCAAATACTGAGTAACAAAAATGTTTGCATTGTGTTCCCTTTCTAACCAAATGCTATAGTTTGATTGTAATCATAACGCAAAACCTAATACTTATCTTAAAAAATTAGTAAAAAAAAAAAAAATTTGTCTTTTAGAATATCTAAATGTATATTTAAATAAATAAAAAACGAATAAGATTGAGAAATCATGTCTAAACCAACAAAAAGAATCAAAAAGCCTTTCTATGTATTTATATAGGAAGCTATAGGCAGCCTACAGGCTGTACAGGACATTGCACACATGTAACTATTTTTAAAGCCACTAGGTGGCGCTCTTCTACTTGAATTATTTTTTTTATTAAGCTGACACTCTATTTTGATGTGAAATGTTGTATTTATTGAAAAATATATATATATATATAAAATAAAAATATGTATATTAATTCTAATGAAAAAAATAGCTCATAAAAATTATATAATTAATGCAAAGTATCATAAAAAATTTAAAAAATTCAAAATAATAATCAGAAAATATTATAGAACAAAAATATATTTGAATGGTTATCCTGGGAAGAAGTAAAGTTACATTTTAAGGCTTCGTCCATTTTTGACCGGGAGGAAGCTAAGTGTAACCCATTTACGAAGAAGCCCAGAGGGTTAAAAAAGATTGTGAGCTAGACTTGAGCTGAAAGAGGGGGGTTTCATGACCCTTTAAGAACTAGTGCACGGATCCATTACTGTTTCATTATACTGTCTGTCACACGCGTTTTATGCTTATTTAAGACATGTACTTATTTAAGACATAACCGACTGTGTTTACGAGGTTACTCACCAAGACCATAATTTTGCGTGTTTTTAACTGTTAAAGCGATATAATCCACGAGAAAGAACTTTTATTACTGGCGAGCTGTTTGTGAGCCGGATTTAGGCTTTACTCTATGTGCACGCAGTGAAAAACATCCCTGAGAGTGCGCGAGCACTGGATAGTTTAAAATTGCTTGAATGTTTAAACTGGTAAAACTGGTAAAAAAAGATGTGAAAATGATAAACGTTAGTTACGATGCAATGCTGGCCCGATTGTGCAAGGGAATATTCCGTCATGTCCTGGCTCCTAAACGCAAGTGTGTATCGACGCCTGCAGCGCTTGACGCTTGCCTTGTGCAGAGAGAGAAGATGCAGCACCGCGAGCCCTGAATATGGAAAAAACCGATTCGTGGCCGTTGAGAATCGATTTTGAATCGACCACATTTTAAAAAACAATTAATCGAAAAATCTATTTTTTTGCCCAGCCCTAGTGGAAACTTGTGACCAACTCAGAGTATACAAGCATCTCTCATTTTTTTGGAGTCAGAGTTGCTTCTGTGTGTTGCTGTGTTCACGATTTCTGCTCATCTGTTGAGAAGGTACTCATGCAAGAAGTTATCCAGTTACCAAACAGTGAAAAGTTCAAAGAAATGGCGGCGTATTTTGAGCCCAGATGAGGTCTGCCACAGTGTGTAGGTGCAATTGATAGATCACATATCCCCATTCTTGGACCAGAGAAGTACCACACAGAGTAATTCAACCGAAAGGGCTGGCATTCGATCATCCTACAGGCTGTTTTTTTATGAGTGCCAGGTAGCCTGCATGATGCCAGAGTGCTGCGTTTGTCAGGATTGTGGGACCTAGTGGATAGGGGTTTGTTACTACCTGATGTAACAAAGAACATTTGTGGACATGATGTGGGGTATTATGTCCTTGGTGATGCAGCCTATCCTTTGAAGAGCTGGCTGATGAAACCTTTCACAGACAACGGACGACTGACACCCCAACAACTTGTGTACAACCAGAAAACAAGCAGAGCCAAGGTGGTGGTTGAGAATGCTTTTGGCAGACTAAAGGGCAGATGGAGGTGGTGTTTGCTAAAACGAAATGACTGCAATACACACAAGGTCAAATCCCTGGTTATAGCATGTTGTGTTCTGCATAACCTCTGTGAAATGAATGGTGATGAGCAGGGACGTGCACAGGGGGGTTGCTCAGGTTGCCCGGGCAACTGCCCATATGCCCTTCTCGACTCAGGTTGCCCTTCCGAGGGAAAAATAAAATAAAAATAAAAAATCGTACAATGGATGCAGAATTTCACGTAGGCCTAGATAAAAAAAATAAAAAAAAATCGCAAAGCCTCATTCACTTCCATTCGGGCACTCAGCTCAACTGTTTTCGTGGCTGCAGCGCTGCACGCGACCGGTGCGTAAGACCCCGCAAATTACTTAAGGCCCCGCCTCCATCTCGTGTCATAGCGCGTCAATTAATGTGTACAACATCCATGACAAAATGAAGCGAAACTATCCGTTTGGTCACGAAAAGAGGAAGAAGAAAAAACCATGAGAGTGAATTGCGGGAACAACAATCAGGTAAACTTGTGTTCCCTTTCGTTGTCACTCCGAGTTCCGTCGGATGACGACGAATGGGGTTTCGCTTAGAAAGCCAATCGACTTCGAGTACTACAAAACGAGCCAATGGCAAAGAAATGCCATGGGTCTGCGGAATTTGCATAGCGTAGCACCGCCCCACCTCGTGGGTATTTAAGGAGCTCGCTGGCAGCAAACCGGCATGTTTTCGCTTCGGAGCCAAGGTGATCCTTCGCTCCACAAGCCATTCCTGTACTGTCAGTTCTGCAGACGAGCGAGATTCTCTGGTGTTGGTGTGACGGCGATCTCCGGCGAGGACGCGCTTCCTGCTTTTCTGTCCGTGATTCGACAGCGAGTGTGTTTCTCCCCGGGCGCTTCAACACAGTCAGAGTTTCTTTTTCTCACAAAAGAGCTTGCACGCGGCACGT